CGCGACCCGCAGATTGCGAGTCAAGCTCCCTAACCACCTAGCCATGCCGGGCCGCCACTAGAGAGCAAATACTGTAGTAACAGAGTGTCTGTGTTGAAAACCCGTGAAGAAGATATTCTTATATCATGTTTCCTCACCAACAGCGATTAGCAACAGAACCAGATATAAATCTTTCTCACTCCAAATTGGATTTTATTCCCAATAACTGAATGAAAAGAAAAAATAACTGAAAAAAATTAGCAATAAGTTCGAGTTTGAACCCTTACTCTCGTCAGCTTAAATTGGTATTTAAAAAAGGTATCAGTTCGATTTGGGGAATAATTTAATTCATCTTGTAGATTTATTGGTTTAATGCAAGTTTTTACCTGTTATGCTCTTACTTGAAAGTCTTGATTCACAAATATCTATATATTAATTGTTAATTTTACCTATTTATCCATATTTACTTGTTTTTGAATTGCTCTCACACTTTTGGAAAACGTGACTTGACATTTTGGATGTAGGCTCTTGATTCGGGAGAATCGTGAGGAGATGGGTGGAGGGGCATATAAATGGGAAATCAAGAGGTTTGTGTAACTTTTAGGCTTGACTGAAACTGTTCTCCTGAATAACGGTATTGGTATTCAAAGAGCTGTTCAAAACAATGGTCTAAACTCAGAGTTTGGATTTTCTTTTAAAAATATGAGCCTCTGCGGGGGTCAGATGTGTTTGGTAGGCACCCATGAGTGGATTTATCTGATGCGTTACGTGAAAATTAGCAGGAATCGTTCAAAATAAGAATCTTTGGATTTTAGAAATTTTGATGTTGAAGCTACCTAATAGGGGATCATGAAGGTTTTTAGGGGGGAGGCAAGATTGGTTGCACAGACTTACCTGAAAACTGACAATAACATGTAAATTGTAATTCAAAACAAGGCGCAAAAAATGTTTTTTGTTTCCCGTTCACAGACGTGTAATTTACTATTTTAGTTTTATTAACAAGATACAATATTATTCACACAAATATAACGAGCAAACTGACTAAGCACACATGAAAATATTTAGCATTTCCATTTGATATGGGTTTAGTTTTCAGTTTACTTTTGACTACTCTAAATATATGTTTTTTCATTAATTACCTGTTTCTTATTATTTGTATTTTTAATAGTGTATTTGTTCTCACTTGATAAAACACATGGGTCAAGCAGGTTTAACACGAAATTGAAGAGCTTAAATTAGGCATTCGTTTCAGTACAGTTTGAAACATTGATATGTTGACAAACATCTCTGGCACAAATCGGAGAGAAGACAAACGCTTCACTGAAAAACGGTTACCTAAACTTCAAACAATGATTATTATAAATGAGGTTAGTTGAGTGTTTTCTTCTAAGGATTTTCGCGTTTTTTTACCGTATCTTTACATGTAGTTAAAGATAGTTTCCCTCTACAGAATGACGAGTTGCTGTCTAGTGTACTGTTCCACCGATAGGATGACAAAATGCTAGTGTAATATTCCCATTATAGAATGAGGAGAGCTGTATATGGTAGTTTTTTTCTATAATGACGAGATACTGTCTAGGACACTGTTCCTTTTATAGAATAACAAGATGCTATCCAGTGTACTGTTCCCTCTATAATGACGAGATGTCAATACAGAGTATTGTTTTCTCCGGAACGAGGAGATGCTGTTCAGTGTATCGTTCCATCTATAGAATGACGAGATATTGTCTAGGTTACTGTTTCATCTCCAGAATGATTAGGCGCGCGTGCAATATGTGTACAAATGCAGTGTTAACGTAAGCTTTTTATTTCCCGTTACCTTCTTCCTTAAAGTCAGATACTGATATGATATTTATCGTTGAATGTATAGATGATTTGATGACTAAGACAAAATAGATTATCATGTTTTCTATATCTGAATTCACAAGTAATCTTAAAAACAGCTTCAAGCAGTTAAAATACTTCAGACATAAATACATTTTCATGAAACGGTTTTCATTGTATAATTCTATTAAATTATTATGTCCAAGTGAATGGAGTTCTTAGCTTAAAGCGGGCAGGAGACACTGTCGACCAATTTCAGCTATCGCTTCAGGCGGCG